CATAACTCAAATAAGAAGTCCGAATCAGGCCTACCTGCTGGTTGTAGCAATTGCTAATTAACAAAAGGCGGATTCAATTTTATTGTTATTATCACCTAAGTCTTGCCTAAGTGTTTGGGTGAGGTCCTATAGACATGATATCTAGTTGGTTCAGAATATGGCAAAGCAGTTCAATTTTAAAACAAACGATTTGAGATCGTACAAGCATGCTCTCTAAACTTTATTAGTAGGAAACGAGAGAGTTGTTTAAAAACTGATTAAGAACAATATGAATTGGAATGATTTTAGAATAGACTGATTTTGGATGTTGTAGGCATGATATCTATTATTGCTAATTTAATTCCTATAGACATGATACCTAGTAGAACGTGTAATGAAGTAGGCAGAATTTACTCACAATTCCCATAGGCATGATTTCAATAAAAGATACTGATTTTAAACTACTGGGCATGAAGCCAGATTATAACTTGTTGGATCCTAAGAACATGGTGTCTAAACGTGGTAATGCAGAATTTAAGAAAAAGTCCTATAGATAGGTTCTCTTGATGCAGATTTAAGTATGCAGAATTTAAATCCTATAGGCATATTTTCTAGATGTAGAATATGCAAAATTTTAGTGAAAACAAATCTTATAGACATGATATCTAAATGTAGAGTTAAACATGCATAATTTAAAACAACATATCTTATAGGCATGATTTTTACCCTTAAGCATGCATAATTATCCAGCCCTTTTCACTAGCCAGCCCTAGTGTTTATTACAAATTATTACAAACTGAATAATAAATTACATCAAAGAAGTATAAAAGAAAAAGTTACAACCAGAGGAAGCCTCATTCTTGACTTCCTCTTTGAGTTATGGAATAAACCACCACAAATGTCATTGATTAAAAGCCTTTCTCAGACTTGAGTGTATCAAAGTTCCCTAAGGGTCTCAAGGGGACCCCGGGCAGTGCTCACACCCAAGTTGCATAACTAGATAGAGATGAGTGCAGTGTGGAAGGGCCAGCCCTCATGTGTCCAAGTTCAGATGGAGCTCATGGGTCCCAAGGCAAGGCTCACATAAGAGGGGCAAAACCTAAGTCTAAGAGTATAGTGGAAGTGCAGGAGAAGAGAGTTGTTTAAGAACTGTGTTGAGAATATTAAGGGGGTAATGGTAGTTTGGAAAACAGTAGTAGTAAAACTAAAATTATATAGCATCAGTAATTGCACAAAGGGGGCAGGGGTTCGAGAATACATTACAGGTGGTATATGACCCTAGGAGGGGTCAAAATCTAGACATGCACAACAATAAGTGATGTTGGCATGCCCATAAACCAGCCATAGGACACACACATAAAGAGGATATGAAGTATATGATCAGAGAGGGTCAGGTATGGGTCATGCACAATAATGTCTAATGCCGACATGCCCTCAAACCAACCAAGGAATACAAGCACATAGGGGATATGAGGTTTGGGGTTCATACAGTTAATACATAAGGGAAACATGAATTCATAAAAAGGAAGGGGCAAATTACAACATGCTTAATAATGTAACTTGATTAAAACACAAACAGAAATAGGCAAGAGTGAAGGAAGTAGCAAAGAAAACATGTTGTTGTTTATGCTGGAAAATTAATTAGAACATACCAGTAAAGAAGCAAATGCAGAAAGAAAATGTAAGCAAGTTTCCCACAGCCTAGCCTTGGCTTTCAGTCGGCTAGATAAGGCAGCAACACAAGCAGCAACAGAGAAAAAGAGAGAGAGTTTGAGTGAATTGTATGTTCTGAACTCAAGTGGTTCGTCTTTGAAAGAGGAGGGGTGCAGGGTATTTATAGTTTTAAAAACATGTAAGAAATAAGGTAATAAGTAAAGTTTCAATACAAATATGGAAATAATCAACAGTCAGAATCAATTAACCAAGTGATTCCCCTTTAATTAAAGAATCCTTGTTTAACGGTTGTGATAGGTTTAAAATAAGGAAAGAAAATCAGTTTGTATGCAGACTAATTGTTGTCATAAAAGGAGCAGTAAAACCACTAAGTTAGTAATCAAGTCTATGTGCAGTAATATACTTATTCTGGAAAAAGATTCAGTTAGGCAAAATAAGGAAAGGAATCAATTAACTTTAACAGGCGAGTGCAATTAAAGGTCACAATAGAAAAGTTTTGAATTCAGTCACAAGATTGAAGGTCAACCAAAGAAGGAACCTTAGCATATATATAGAGTGAACAAACCAGACATGCGAGGGCAAACCCATTGGCAAAAGAAACAGCATACAGAAATAGGCATAAGGTTCAATAGTAAAGCAGACATTCGAAGCATAGTAGTCAAGTAGGTCAAGTCAAATTGAATCGATAGTGGAGAAAACAAAATATCAGAAACATGCGAAGGTCTCATAGTAGTAGACGAGAAAAACCTTTTGAAAAGTTAGGGTTTCAAGCATAGTCGAGTTTTAAAGATAATAAAAACCCAAAATAAGAGGAATCACATAAAGAAAAAGGGGTTCTGAAACAAAGAACTTTAAATCAAATCAGGTATTCAAACGAACAGTTTCAGACCCAGAGACATAGATACTTCAACAATAGTCGAGCTTAAAAGATGATAAACAAATAAATAAAACAAAACATAACCAAACAAGCACTCATCTGACAAACAGCCAAAAGAAAATAGGGTTTTCAACATGCTAAATCAGATAAAAGAACAACATGAGAAACACATAGAAAAATCGGAAGCATGTTAAAGTCAGAGAAGATATTTTGAAATAACTTAAGAGAAAAACCCTAATCGAAAAAAATAAATACTCGTTAAAGTTAAAGAAACGTTGAGAGAATGCTTAAAAGTTCAAAGCAAACGCATATCTAAAGTAGATCTGAAAGAAATCGAAAGATCTTAGAGATTAGGGTTTTAGAAAACCCAGAAAAGGTGAGAAAGGCCCTGAAAGTTACAGATCTAACCAGGAGAGTCAAGGATCTAACTCGAGCGGCCATGGCTGGCTGGAGAAAGGTCAACGATGATCGGAGAAGAGCCAAGAACTAAAATCGGACAAGGACTGGACCAAGCTCCTTCAAGGTCTGGCCTTGAAACCCTAAGAACGAACACATATGAGCCTTGGAAGGCTGGTACAGGTCTCACATGACCACGGATGGTCATGGATTAGGTAGATATCAAGGTGGGGTGAGAGGGCGGGCAGCTAGGGTTCGTGAGAGTTTCAGAGAGAATTTGAGAGAGAAGAGGAGTTCAAGGGCGGCAGATTGTATCAATAGGGTTTTGGGGGTCGTTTGGTATTAATTACGGTAAGGGCTGCCGGTGGCCGTTGATCGAAATGATCAACGACTGAGATTAAAAAGGTTAGGTGGGGATCTGGGTATGGGTCGGTGTAATTGGGTTAGGTGTAGGGTATGAGTAGGAATTGGGTCGGGGTAATTGGGTTTAAATTGGGGTAGAATTAGGCTACAATTGAAATGAAATCTGGCTAGATTTTAAATAGCCATTTTTCCTATTTATTTTATAAAGAATAGCAAATTAATTCATGGAAATAAATTAATAGTACTAAAATGAGTTGTAACACATTATTATCAATTTAAAATACTGGACTTAATTTTTATAAATATAAACGCAATTAAATCTTAAATGGAGCAAATATTGCAATTATATGCAATTTAGCTTTAAAAATACTAAATAAATTTGTAAAAATATGCAAAAATTATCTTAGCTAGAGTTTAGTATTAATATGACAATTCAATAAATGAATCACCAAAAATAATAATTTTGAAATTATTATTGGGGTTTTTATGAATAAAATAGGGGAATAAATTTGTTTTAAAATCTTTACAAATTATGGAAAAATAATAAAACATCTGGACATACTTATATATGCATACATATTCTATTTTGAAAGTATTTTGCGTATCGAAAATATATAGGGAAAAAATTGGGTATCAACACTTCCCACGCAAAGAATCACATCATCAATACTATCCTCCAAAATGATGGATGAACTTGCGCCAAGGTATGGACACATCCAAGTTGAGGTTCAAACCCTCAATCTTACTAGGCAAATGATACGGGAGTAATTTCAAAATAGCCAGATTTACAAGTGGTCATTTAAAAATAGCCACAATTTCAAAAGTAATCAAAATTTAGTTACTTTTCATGTAAAGATAAATCTGAAGGAAAATACTTTTTAAAATTCGAAAAATACTCCAGTATAATATACTGGAGTTCCAGCATAAGCATACTGGAACTCCAACATATTATAATGGACTTCCAACATATGTATACTGAAACTCCAGCATATTATAACGGAGTTCCAACATAAGTATACTGGAACTCCAGCATAATACACTAAAGTTTCAGTATAATATATCGGTCCAGTATAATATGCTAGAAATTCATACACAAGTATATTATGCTGAAACTTTCCGCGTGTTGAAGTTTAAGCATAATATACTGGAAGTTCATACACAGGTGCATCGATCTCAAGTATATTATGTTAGACTGATCCCTGTTGCAGTAAAATAGTGGCTATTTTTCAATGACTTTGCAAATGCTGGCTATTTTTGAATGATCAGTCCGAAAACTGGCTAACCCGTGCTATTTTAACCCAACGATTGACCGGTTGTCAAGTAATGTCATTTTATATTATTTATACGACTTTTGAATTTTATTTACATGCATGTTAGCAAAAACTTTCAAAGAAACGGTGTTGGTTGTCGCCCCAAGGTGCATCCCCCACTGAGTTTAAATAATTCTAACGATAAATAATTACTAATAAGAATGGATTGTAATGACAAATATTGTAAAATAAAATGAACAAAATCACCCTATCATTTAAAAAAGCTATGAATTATTTTCTCAAATAAAAATATTACTAATTGTTTCCATCACATATTTTCAACTTTAGAATATTACTCATCTCTTTAAATTATAATTGATTTGAATTAAAAATTGTAAAATAAACTTGAACTCTAATTAACACAGCAAAAGTTCATGAAAGAACTTACAATTATTATATTAGGCAGTGCCATGTTTAAACATAACCCCACTAAAATTATCCATCATCTCATGAATAGAAACATCATAAATCATTTCAAATGTACATCACCTTTCTCTTTCCTTACTTCCTCTCGTCTTCATGATTGGGCACAATTTCTCTGTGATAAATAGCCCGTTTCACCAAGCTGCAAAAGTAACTTATTTTAAAAAGTGTTTTTTTTAAAGTTCTTTTTTAAAAGTACTTTCGGTAAGAAACAGTTTGTGTTTGGCTAATTAGTTTGAAAAGCATTTCTGAGTAGCAATTAGTGTTTGGCCAAGCTTTAAAAAACTGATTCTAAGTGTATTTTTCTCAAAAGTGCTTCTCAAAAAAGTGCTTTTGGAAATAAATTACTTTTTTTTGCTTCTCCTCAAAATTACTTTTTTTCCTTCCAAAAACTTGGCCAAACACCTCAATTTTTGGTCAAAAGTGCTTTTGAAAAAAAAAACACTTTTGGCCAAAAAAAAGCTTGGCCAAACAGGTTAAAAGCCAACGAGTGTATCCTTTGACGATCCCAAAAATTATTAAATGTTCTCAACTTCATCCCTAGTGCGGTGCAAACCATTGTTGCATCTCTTACAAGTGCAAGGAATGTCACCTTCTAATTCTGAGTGCTTAATTGCAAAGTGGGGAAAATTGTCTAACTCCTTTTAAATACACATTGCTCAGTCTATTGGTACAACGCATCCAAGTCTTGTCCATTTCAAAATTTCCTACAATTAAAGGAAAGAGATCAGATCAATTAGTAAAATGTAAAATATGTGAAAGCAACAGTGTCCAATAAAGCAAATAAGTTGTGTACTATAATGAAGTTTCTTTTGTTATACAACTACACCTGCAACTGTGAGTACATGTATGTATATATGTGTTTATGTGTGCACACACATATAATGTATACACATACACAACATATGTATATGTTTAGCTAACCTATTCCAACAAAGACTACAAGAAGTTGTATAGTGTAACAACAATATCAATAATGTTATTCTGAAAGTCGGCACACTAAATTAAAAGGTCATTTGAGAAGATGACAGTATACTAAAACTATGATATTACATACAGTATAAGTTAATTTCAGGCAGCCTAACGTAGACACTCTATGTTACTTTTCCTTTCTGTTTCTAGCATTTCTTTTGCTAAGCTCTCTTTTGTTATAACTGAGAAATTTTTAAGTCTGACGTATGATCTGAAATTCGATAGATAATGGATTCGCTCCTCTATCCTTGTTTACTTAAATACAATGGTGGCTTTAACGGCAAAGCAATAAAATCGCTACTTTAGGCCTCTAAAAGTTAAAGTAGCTAACGTTATTTAGGTTTACACTTCGACTCTAGTTGAGCCGCCTCTGCTTAAATACCCTTTATTAGCCACGGGGTTTAAACCCGTGACATGTGCCAATTATTACGCTCTTAAAAGGAGGGGAAAAATTGTCCGTTTTAACTCATATATCACGCGCTACGCTCTTATCACCACATGTACCTAACTCAGACATCAAGTGATAGATCTTATAATAGATCCAAAGGCCGGGGACTACTTTCGTTCAGCTCTTTTATAACTAGTTAACTACTTTTAAGATCGTTTTCTAAGCATTAACGATCGTGGGGAACCCATAAATGAGAACAAACAAAAGAAGAAATGGATACATAGAGATCGCAGATAATGCGATCCTATGCTGTTCTCAACTTAATACAACATCAAACACATCTATAAAAATCTAAAATGTAATTTTAAAAATCATAAATTACACCTAAAGCAAAGCCCATAATCACATTCAGGTAGAACAAAGTAAAACGACGAAAATTGGCAGAAACAATTTGAATTTGAAAGAAGGGCCATGAAAGGAATTAATTCTATATAGAGTTTACAAGAAGGGACGACAAACCAAGCAGATCAACCACCGTTCTGTATTTGTATTGGAGAGGAACCGAGCTAAGAGAGGAAAGTGATAGATTAGCGCTCCATGTATCGTATTGAAGAAGAACAAAAACGTGCTTTGCCTCGTTTAGTTCGTCCTCTTTTTTCCTTTTCTTCTTGTCATTTTTCTCTCTTTTTATCGTTTTGTTTCCTTATTCAATTCTTTCTTTCTTTTTCTCTTTTTGTTTTGTAATTAAACGATATTTAATTATAGCAAAAGATATTACATATTAGGAGGAGTGTCACTTAGGACACTCAAGTTATTAAATTTTGGCAAACTATTACAAGTACTTATAGAAATATGTTATAAATATTTTTTAGTGCGAATATCTAGGTATTTCTTTGGAGAAAAGTTAGGTTTAGTTATTTCCTAACCAAGTTAGTTTTTTTCTATAAATTGAGGGGATCTCATTCATTGTATGGTCATCCCTCATATAAGTAATAATCTTTCTCTCTTCTCTTTACTTTTTTCTACAATATTCTTCTTTTAACTTTATTACGAGACTTTACCGTCTCAAGAAATTATTTGAGAAGACTGAGGTACTGTTTTTCTTCTCTCTAATCTATGACTAATCTTACGAAACTTGAGTTCGTTGCCCTTGATATTTCGGGCAAGAATTACCTCTGACGGATGTTGGATGCTGAAATTTATTTGGATGCAATGGGTCTTGGATAGACCATTAAAGATATAGATAAAGTATCAAATCAAGATTATGATAAAGCAATGATATTCTTGCGTCATTACCTTGATATAGACTTTGAAATTACCGTTAAGGATCCACTCGTTATGTGGAATATCTTCAAAGAAAGACATGGCCACCTAAAGATGACCATCCTCCACAAGCACGGTATGATTGGATAAATCTAAGGCTACAAGACTTTAAGTCTACTCATGAGTATAATTCTGCGATGTTTAGAATTTCTTCTCAGTTGAAACTATGTGGAGATAAGATTAATGAATTTAATATGCTGAAAAAGACGTTCTCTACCTTTCATGCCTCGTATATGCCCAGCAGCAGCAATATCGAGTGAAAGATTTTAAAAAGTATTTTGAATTGAATTGATTTCTCATCTTCTTGTGACTGAAAAAATAATGAGTTGCTAATAAAAAATTAGGAGAATCAAGCTGCTGGCTCTACACCATTCCCTCAAGTGAATGAGGTGTACTCCCGCTACTCTAGGCGTGGAAAAGATTGTGGTACCGGTTATGGTCATGTTCAAGGAAGAAATTATTTTCCTGGTGTTAATCATTCATCACAGAAAAATCACCATCAAAAGGAAAAAACAAAAGGATGAGAAGCACGAAGTGGTAGAAACAAGTCGCTAATAAAATAAATGGTACCAATGTGATGAAAGAGAACACTGGTAACGTACCTGTCATACACAAAAATACTTAGTTGAGTTTTATCAAGTATCACTAAGGAAGAAATAGAAAAATCTCAAAGCTAATTTCTCAAATTGACATCACATACTTGAATGTGATCGATTTTTCTTGAGCATCCTAAACGAAAAATAGATCACTTGATTGGTGATAGACTTGTGGTTAAGAAAGATTAATTTATTTTATTTTGATTTTGTCAATTCGATCGTAGCAGTTAGCAAATAAAGATCATAGAACTGCAGTAGTAGTCTATCACCTAGTATTGATTAGTTTAGTCATATTAGTGTAGTTCCTTAAGTTCTTGTCGGTTCCATTGTTCGTTAAATAATATCTCATTGATGGTTTAAGTTTACATTTTTTTTTTTTTTGTTTTGCTGACTAAAGTTTGTTATCTTCTCACGTTTTGTGGATTGCAGTGAAAACAATTATTGGTTTTATCCTACTTAGATCAAAACGTAAACTAGAGATGGATATGAAAATATGCATACAGAACCGTCACTCTGTAGATTACTCGTGTAATTATCTATGTCTACTATGTGTTTTATTAAATATTATTCCTTTTTTCTATTTTTTTAATTGATAGTTGTAATATTTACTATTACCTTTATTTGTGTCACGACCCAAAATCCACTAAGGATCACGATGGCACCGGACACACTGTCAGGCAAACTAACACCAAGAAGGTAATTAAATTCTCATTTTAGTATTTGTTGATATCATTTTCTTTATACATTAAACAATAATTAATGAAATTCACAGAAATAAACATGAAGTCTTTAACAAACTTAATATTAAATTATCCCACAATCCCAGAACCCGGTGTCACAAGTGCACGAGCAACCACTAGGAAATTGAATAAAGTACAATAACTGTCCGGAATACAATTTGGACATAAAGTAAATACAATACACTAGAAGAGACTATGCTCGCTGCGGGTCGCCTCGAGGAATGCAGCTCACCTAAGACTCCGTATCAACCATGCTGCTACGCCTACTAGGCCACTAGAGATACATGTGCATGTGCAAAAAAAATGCACAACAAGTGTAGCATGAGTAAAAAATAACGTGTACTCAGTAAGTATCCCATCTAATCTCGAAGAAGTAGAGACGAGAGGTCGACTTCGACACTTACTAATGGTCCAATAATGATACATCAACAATATAATAAATCTAGGATTTTATAAAAATGCTGGTAACTCAATAGCCTAAAGCAAGTAAACAGTTCTTCCGTTTATAGGAAAATTTTATCTAATTCATTTTTATCATTTGTACATTTATCTTAGACCAGGGAGAAACAATTATCAACATCTATAAATCTCAAGGTAAGCAATACAAGTACGCGCAAATCATGCCGATGTCGTACGGTCCAATCCTATAATATTTAAACCGTGCATTACCAGAGGGTCGAATGGTGATAATAGGTAAGATTCATGTAGTTTGACGACTATTTATGCCCCAACTTGACTGTGGTTCACTGTTCTAGGAAGGTTAAATGACGATGGAATGGCTCTAATTGTGAATTTTATGTTTTGCAGGAGCAAGTCGTACTTATGGGGACTTAGAACAGTGTTTGGAGCTAAATTAAAGCAAGGAAAGCCCCTCAGAGTTGAGTATGTGTGAAAGAAGAAAGAAAAGAAGCGATAAACAGTTGATCCACTCTAGCGTGGGCCAAGCGCGGCCTTAGCGTGGCCACGCTAGAGTAGAAGAGCTGGGGCAGCATTGAAGTTGATTAGCGCGGCCCAAGCGCGGTCACGAGCGCGGCCGCGCTAGTCCAGGAAGCAGAGATAGTGTAGAATGCCATTTGCGTAGCCCATGCGTGGCCGCGCTAGTCACTTTGAAACGTAAAAATTTTAGGGGTAAACATGAAAGTTTGGGGGTAATTTCACTTAATCTATAAGAGGTCCAGCTCGCCCAAAAAAGAGGATATCAGGGGTTTTATAGTTTTGTAAAGGCAAGAAGAGGCAAGAGGCAAGGAGGATAATTCGGCATCGAGTTCTACCTTTATTCCTTTTGTTTTTATCATTCATTATGAACTTCTTATTGTGTTAATATAGTTTACCAAGTTTAATCTCTATTTGTTCAAGTACATTCTTGTTAAAGTTAATTGATAGGATCCTCAATTAGTTGTGCCTGTTTAATATGTATTACTCCGGAGAGAGTGCATATTTAGATAGTTGTTGAACAACATCACTCCCAAAGTATATGAGGAATCAATAACCGAGGGTTTAAAGGTGGGTTTAGGAATAACAAAACCTTGGGTTGAGTTGTAATAAAAGCCAGCTAGCATAACTCGGGAGAGTGCGTCTAGTAAATTGTCGTAATTACTTAGGAGAGATTTACGGTAGTAAGAGTAATCATGATCGACAGAGACGATTGGGCAAATCTATACAAAACATAACAGGACGTGATTCCATCAATAGGGGAAATCACAACCTTAGATCCTTCTCTTATTTGTTTACCACTCAGTCATAGTTAGCTTTTAGTTTATTTAATTTTATTCAGTTATAGTTAGTAGAAATATTACCAAGTGTTATTCGAAATATCTGAGAAGTTTATTACGGAGAATTTAGTGAGTCTGGCAAAAGTAATTGGTAGGTTAATTCCCTGTGGGATTCGACTCTGGGCTAAATACCCAGATTATATTTGCAACGACCGCTTTATCCTTTTTATAAGGCATAGTTGGGCGTGATCAAATGACGCGAACCATAGATGCATCTACTTAATATACCAAGGCGTTCGGCCCGTTCTACAATGTATAAACACATTCAAACAGTCAATCAAGAACTCATCAAGGAGCAATTATCCAAGAAAAGGCAATTTCTCTTTTAAAAATCTAGAAACAATGACTACTCTTTTAGAAATTCATTTACACGTTCGATATGTTTTAAGCATTTTTAAATTGACAACAAGATTTCAAGTATTGCATGTAAATTATGCTTTGGGTCCTAAACTACTCGGACTTAAGCATAATAGTTGCTACGCACGGACTCTCATCACCTCGTGCGTGCGTAGCCCCCACAAATAGAAGCACATATCCAATTAATTTACCTATGAGGACAATTCCATCTTACAAGGTTAGAAAGGAGATCACCTCGCTCCAAAGCCTATATCCCAATTCAAGAACACGCTCAAACCTCCAAATCGGAGCCGAACGATCCAAATCTATTCAAATGGGGTAAGAACTAGTCAATACATGCTTAAAAGTCCATATTCTAGTTATTAAACCAATTTCCAAACCCTAAATACAAGGTTTCTAAAATTCATCTCTGCGCCCACGTGTTCGGATTCCGAATTTTTTTTTTGAAGAAAATTGTTACCCATAACCTAAGGATCACACATATATATTTTCTACTAAATTCTAAAGCAAATTTCGTGGTTAAATCTCATTTTTGTCAAAAACATAGGTTCTTACCTAAACCTTTGATTTTTCCTAATTTTTACATGTTAATCTCCATAATTTATGTATTTAAACTCACGTTGTGTAGAAATTACTCGCCTAAGACCAAGTGGGAAATGAAGGAAATGGGCTAAATCTCGAGATAAGAAGCCCTGGGTTCTAGTCGCAGATGTCGTATTTGCGACATCTGACTCGCAAATGCAATGGTCGCATTTGCGACAATGCATCGCAAATGTGAAGCCAAGCCATCCCTGTCCAGGTCGCATTTGTGACCAGATTCTTCGCAAATGCGAAGGTGATAGC